TTAGGGATAAACCACCACTACGACCAACAGGTTCAACCGTATGTAGGAAATCATACCCAAGACTTAATTTTAAAGCTTCCATATAAGCTAATTTCTGTTTGGTCTCCATGAGAAATAAAAAATCCGGGAAAAACTGACGCCGGAAATCCCTAATTCTTTGAACTGTGTCCGAATTACCAGCCCCTCTGCAATTCCAACTTAAGATACTCATAATATACTAACTATCCTAATTTATTTTTCTTTTTTATTATTTGTTTTAAATTAAAACAGCCAATAAAAATAAAATGACAATGATAACCACCTAATGAAGAAGTAGCATTCCATCGAGTATATAAAACACCCCCAAGACTCTGATCGATCCAACATAAATTGAGTACCAGAACCGACAGATTATACAAAGCGAACCATATACCATAATATACGAACATATTAGGAACCTTCAGAAAACAGATTTTTATTAAAAAGGTGAACACATAAATAACTGCTCCTGTTATTTCATCCAAAAAGAGAAATTTGAACCCGATATCCATCCATGTTAATTGGACAAACCAAAGAGAATTCAGAATCTTTAAGGTCTTTAGAATAACCACCCTTATAAAAGTAACCACATTTGTTAAATAATTTAGCGTCTGAGCTAGAAAAATCAGGCGATAGAACCCCAACACCTGTGAGCCAACATCCAATGTAGAAGCTATAATCATAATTTCTTTTAAAAGACTTGAGCCAGAAGAAACAGACCATACATATGTCAAGGCTCGAGTAATAAAAGACCTCAGTAATCTAAACACCAGAACTATACAGTAAGATATTAAATCAAGAGAAACAACCAAGAACCATCTAGAACACACAAAGAGCACCATCCACCAAACAATTGAGAAACCACGAACACAGCCCTGCTTCTTTACAAACCCTCGGGAGCATAAATACAGAGGAAGAAGATCCCATACAAACCAAGAAACATTAAAAAACCAAAGTAAAATCATTTTATTAATCGAGTAGAGCCACCACTCATAGGGTATCACCCTATTAACTTGGAAAAACCAGAAAGACATACAACGAAAGTCGCATTCAAAAAGAGAACCGATAGAATCAAGACTATAAAACCTATCAAGGAGGGATTTCATAACTGAATCCAACATTATTCAAGTAAAAACTGTAAATAAAAAAACTCAAACGAAGAGCCTTACTGTGGAGGAAGCTTAGGCTTAGCAGCCCCCTTCCTATTCCCTTTCTCACCCACCTTGGCAGCCGCTTGAGCCAACAATTTCTTACGTGGAGAGACAAAAATCGGAGCACCTCGTTTCTTGGAAGGCCCATCCACAGTCCCAATCCCATGCTGCGCCATTGCCTTGATTTCAGGCAATTCATTACCCACCTTAGTTGAATCTTCCATTGCCTTATCTTCCATTGCCTTATCTTCCGAACTAGGCAACAGATGATCACCAGCGATCTCAAGCTCAGCCAGAGCCTGATCATTACAAACCAGGTCATTATCCTCCATAAACTCCATTTCCGCACCATTTTCCCAACACTCCAAATCTCCATCCTCCGCCAAAAGCTCCGAGTCCGATAACATCATACCTTCATCATTCAGATTTTCCCCATCTGCCTCTTGCTGTCTTTGCACTAAACCAGAAGTATCACTTTCTGTTACATCATCAAGGCCAGCATTGGAGTTCGCCAATACGAGGGAGGAAACCTCAAGAGGGTTAGTGTCAACTGCATTCTCTACCACCTCATCCTCAAAAACAAGAGCTTTACGAGCCTTTGAAAGAGTACCTCCACCCGCCTTTGTGTCTTGCTGTACCCTCCTAACAGGAGAAGACAACATCTCCCCTTTGAAAGCGTCCAACATAAGCTTCTCTGATTTACCATGATCACGGTCACCTTCCTTAGCCTGTGCTGGATGTAGATTCCTAGGCTGATTCCCATTCCTTCTAAACCCATACTGTGAAACCTTGTAACCTCTTTGTCCTTTCTCACGATAGGGGTGGAAAGAACCTTCAATTTTCCCCTCTCCCTGAAGATCCTTGTTTAAGCCTTTACCTTTAACACCAACTCGAGAACCTGGAAACCGGTTTTGATGACCAGCTCTGCGCTCACCATTTAACTTGTCACCATGAACAACAGCAGCTTTGTAACTAGTCGCCTTAGCTCCATCAAGGAAAGGGTCACCACCAGTGGAGGTTTCAGGCAAAGCTTTGATCAACTTCGGACATTTCAAATGGTCATGAGTAAGGTGAAAGCACTCCTTGCAATAACCTATCAATCTTTCATACCATAATTTAACTGTAATCTCCACACCTTCTCCTATCTCAACAGTGGCCGAAAACACCAATGGCTTGAAACCATCAATCTCCACACGTACTCTACCTTCCACGAGATCTACCGGACTTTTAACCAAACCCAAAGCTTCTCCAACAGCTTGGAAAATTTGAGTAACACGGAATTGGAGTGGCATGTCCTGGACGTAAACCCAAAAGGTGAGACTAGAAGGGTAGTTTGGTTCAAGAACAGGTTTCCACCTCACCAACGCAACCATCCATAAGTCAAAATGGAAGGGTTCCATTTTGAGGACCTCCACAATATCCTCTTCCAAATCAAAATTGAATTGGAAACGCCCAAGCCCCAAATCGACTCCCGCCACACGACCTTCGACACCCCAAAATCTCGGGAAGAGATACAAAAGAGTCTTCACATCTTGAACCAGAGGATTCATACACCTTCCAATGAGAGTCTTGGAGTAGCTGGCTATGAGATCCGAGTTATCAAACTTGGGAACAGAGATCTTCAGCCGTGGCTTCATCTCTTCAACATTCTTGCCATGAGCCTTAGTTATCCAGTTCCCAAAATCTGCCCTTGGTACCGAAACCAATCTTGATAGCCGTAGCAGACATCAACATGTTCTCAACTTGGACATCCTTGATTACCAAGTCGAAAGAGGATCTACCGATCATAATACATCGCCATCCTTTCCAAATCGGGGATTGGACAAGCGGAAACCGAATATCACATTGAATCCGTTGAGATTTCTCAATCACCCAGATTCTCATGAGAATCCCATCCCAATTGGATTGACCTAAATCCAAGAGAGAAACTTTCATTGAAAAAGACCTGGTTAACCAGAGGGAGACAAACCCCCAAAAACCTTCCCGCGATCTCCGAAGAATCCGATTGGTGAAGACATCAGAATCTACCATCGATCTAAGCCTCTCCTAAGTCTCAATTGAAATCGCCATCAATTGAAATCGCCATCTACCAACGACTATCATAAAGCAAAAAAAAAAAGAAACAGAACACTAGTCACTACGAACTCTTTCTTGGACAAGGAGGACTAATGATTGTTTAAAAGCTTAGAAAAAACAAAAAGGTTAAACGACAGTTGGAATAAAGATGAACGAAACAATGAAACTAAAAATCTGAATCTAACATTTTCATTTCTGTAACAGTTTTACCAAACATTTGATATATAAGTCAAAAGCTTATCTAATGTATGATTCCTAAAGCGAGGAGTATAGTACCCTTTTTCAGATATTGGTTGTTAATTAGAGAAAATTATACGATTAGAGATTTTAATCTTTTATGAACAATAATAACCAGTAAGATGACAGAAAAATATATATAATAAAAAGGAGGAATGCTTTTCTGCATTTACTTTTTCTTTACCTAACACCATTCAAGTTGATAGAACACTATCCAGTAATAAACTACTATTGAATATCAGAAGTGCCGAGAACAAAGCAGGTTATCCGCAAACATATAAGATCAGTAAATAAGTTGATAGAAAACAGAGAATTGAAGTGAAAAGAAGTTGTTCTCTGTGCCACTAGACTAAATTGATAAACAAAACTATTGTCACGGGAACACAACATATCAAGATATTTTTATAAATGGAGCCTCCATTACTGGGGTATTATATCTGTGAACGTGGGAGAACAAACAACGGATACTGATATAAAACATTATGGGCACTTAATTCTTAATTTCGGTTGAAACGTTGAAAAAAAAAACACTTATCATCGTTGAAAGTTGGGTTGAGACTCCTAAATCGTGATCTTTTTCATGGTTGGATCAGTTCCACTAGCGGCTCACGCGCTAGACTTGTGACAAAAGTTGGATAAGGCCGTCAAAAACATCGCTATTCGCCTGTTTCCATGGACAAGTATCGTGCCACGCTCTTCACGCGAGTGATACAAATAGTTACTATTGAAGCATTAACATAACGATAATATAAGTATATTCAAAGTACGTTAAAATGTTAGAGAAGTATGTTATCAACTAGACCGCATAGCGCAGTGGATTAGCGCGTTTGACTTCGGATCAAAAGGTCGTGGGTTCGACTCCCACTGTGGTCGATTAAATTTTTAGTTGTTCAAAATTCTCTTTGTTTTTATCCTTGCAAGCTTATCATCAACCTTGTGGTCCTAACATATATATTTGTTATACTTACAATCCTAAATAGCTCAAACCAAGTTACTAAACCAAACTAACTTGTTCTCATCTCGTCTTCTCTTGTACTAAACGTTTGCAAAATCAAAATAACATAAGGAAACCACAAAAGCTGAGAACTGGTTTAATATCAGTTATTATGAAAAAATGTTTTTGAAGAGTGAGACAAAGATTTGACTGTTCCATGAGAAAACTTGTGTAAAGAAAAAGGTGGACAATACGTGAATAACCAAAAAAAAAGCTGAATCATTCCTAGTAGGGGTAGCTGGAGAATGAGACTCCTACACTTTGATAGCATACTTCCTCACTGGGAAATACATCTCTTTCTTCTTCTCACGCTCCGTCTTCAAAGAAGACTGCAACACAAATAACCCAATGATATACAAATGTCAGGTTACTGAGTAATATTAGCAATGATGGAACAATTTTATAACAAGAACCAAAGTAAAATGTGGGTGTAAGGATAAAGACCTGATGCTTGGTAAGACGTCTTCGGATAGCACGAGTCTTCTTAGGACGGAGATCAAGAGGCAAGAACTTCTTGTTCTTGTATGCTTCCCTTAGTGCTAATTTCTGCTTCTGTGAGATCACCGTCAAAACCTGAGCAATGGATTTCCTCACCACCTTGCTGAAAGATCAAAACGAATATTAAAATCAATTCATTTGTCAAATAAAAACCCCCCACAAAGTCAGAAGTCTGATGAGTTGTTTACACAATCGAATTTGATTGATTTAAAAATACAAATAAGATTTTGAGATATCTAACTTACAAATATATATACAAAAATGTGATAATATGAAGTCTTACTAGGAAACCTAAAATATGCTAATGTTCTTTTGTTAGCCTAAAATTGAAATGATAAATCGCCTAATCAGAAAGTAGACTAATTCCAAAACAAATGTAAATGCTCTGTTATGTGTAAATGTGACAAGGCAAATACGTACATTTTGGAGAGCTTGTTAGGGGCACCTCCAGTGACTTTAGCGACACGGAGGAGAGCGAGCTCAGCCTTGAACTCCTGAAGCTGGCTCTGAAGATCCGTCTTCGATCTCTCTCTAAGCTCATGAACCTTGATCCTTGCTAAAACAACATTAACACCTAATCAGAACTACGTAATTAAAAACAATGAATTTCTAATGCCACTGTTCATACCCATCGTGAGCTTGCTTTGCTGGTGATGATGAATTAATTTTCCTCGTTTTTCTGGCTCCAAGAGTCGCAAAATCCTAATTTCTGAGGAACCAGGCAATTTATACGATGCGGATGAACTGAAAACCCTTAAAACTTAAATATAATGGGCCTTTATAAGCCCAATAACTATATTTATAACTAATGGGCTTGGGCTATGTTACTGAACAACACACTTCATGGGTTGTATTTGTAGGTGAAAAGATGAGAGAAAAAAGTGGAATAGTGAAAGCAGAGGGGAATCAGTTCGTCAAAAAGGCCCCAAAAGTATCAGATTCTGAAACTTTTTTTTTTAGTATGGTGTTTTATGAGAATTAGATTCGAAATTATCAGTAAGGCATGGCCATCATCTCATGCGAATCATAATAATTCGACACGGTTTCAAAGTCCACCTAACAATCTCATACATTGGTTTGTTAGGAATCAGAATAACTCTACAACTTTTTCTAAAGTCGATTCCCTCAACCAAAAAATTATCTTTAACAGAACCTAAACAATTTACATTTGTTTCATTTTATGTCACCACATAAACATCTCAATGTTTTTATTTCTATACAACAACTATAGACTTTCTCTTACAACTCTTTGGCATCATAAGCAACAAAAAAAGATTGAAAATGTTATGTGCCTCTCAAGCATCAACAAGAAACATTTGCTCAACCATGGACCAACCCTCACAACCTTCTTCTTCTTCGTCCACGGTCCGGCTCGGTGGTCGAGCCATCGACCGTCATAACCCAATCATACGTGACGGTCGGAGGTTCACTCCTCCACCTTCTCCTAACCATAATTCCTCCTCTGCTCCTTCTTCTTCGTCTTCTACGTATCATACTCCTCTCAAGACTAGACTAGGTCTAGAGAGCAGCGAGAAAACACGTGTTTCCAATAGGAAGAGCAAGAAAAGTCAACGTAACAGTGGTAAGTCACCAGTTAGTTGTTTTACCAGTGACACTCCTCAAGGTTCTTCAAGGTACTTACTGAGCAACCCGGTTTTCTTTGACGGGTTTGTGGATTCTGACCCGATCCCATTACCTATTGAACCGGAGATAACCACGGCTGATGATTTGAACAAGGCTCATGAAGATAGATTGGTAATAAACGCCTCTAAGCATCTCTCTTCTCAGTCTTTCTTGGAGAAGAAGCAACCTGATTTTTTCGATGGGTTCTTGGACTATGACCCGGTTATGTCTCCGAATAATCCTTTCTCTAAGCCCACAAAAGCTTCTCCAGAATCATCTCAACGCTCTCTTGAAGATAAAGAAGTTTCATCTCCAGTAAATCTTTTCTCTGAACCCACAAAAGCTTCTCCGACAGCATCTCAAAGCTCAATTGAAGATAAAGATGTTTCGTCTCCGGATATCAAGTTCTCTCCTCCACAACCTCCACCACCTCCTCCTCCACCGTCGCCGCCTCCAACGGAGAAGAACTCATCTTCCGACCAAGTAAATAATCAAACACTACGTTATTTTTTTGCAAGAATGAGTTTATGTCTAAAACAAAACTTAACGATATTTCTTTGAAGGTTGTAGTTTTGAGAGTGTCACTACACTGCAAAGGCTGTGCCGGGAAAGTCAAGAAACATCTTTCGAAACTGAAAGGTAGTTAACAATTTAACTTATATATATTTGATTTAGCGGTTCATCTTTTAGGTTGTTAAAATACTCTGTCTCTGGTACTTTTGGTCGTTGTGTGTAGGCGTGACGTCATTTAACATAGACTTCGCTGCAAAGAAGGTTACCGTGACGGGAGACGTAACGCCGTTAACTGTGCTAGCGAGTATCTCCAAAGTTAAAAACGCCCAGGTCTGGCCTGAGACTAGTCAGAAGTAATCTCTTTTATACCTGTATTTCTTTTTTTCTGTTAACTTTATTCCTATGTTTTCTTCTATGTTGTTATGTTTATTCTGGAAGACAGTTTGTGAAAACGTTACTCTCTTTTGTTAGTTCACTGTGTTGGTGTGATGGCATCACAATTTACAATTCTCATCAGAATTTACAATTTCTTTTTTGATGGGCTTTGATATAAGCATAAACGGGCTTATATCATGAAAACTGGAACATTTGACTATGAGAATTCAAAAATCTTCTCATTGGAGAATTCAAAAGTTGAAAAATTTGGTTAATATCAATACAAACAAAAACTTATTGTTTTATTGCCTTTGATTCGTTTCAATCTGTTCGCTAGTTTCCATTCTACTAGTCATCTTTAGGTTACCAGCACTACTCATACAAAACAAAAGTCTCGCTAGTTTCCTTTTTTTTTTTTACTTGTATACTTAATAACCGTATTATATATATTAAAAATGGAAAATTACTAATTCCTATATTTTTATTTTTGGGAAGTGTGGGTATAAAAGGGTTTGATAAGCTTGTGAAAAGTTAAAAAAAAAAAAACTCGAAAGGTATACCTTTGGTCTGAGAATATCAATTAATTAATGGCGACTACATGCAAGCACTGGGTTGTTCACCGTAAAATCTGTTGTCGATGCAAAGCTCGAGTGAAAACGAACGACTTGGCGAGGATGGCGAAGAGATCATCACCTTCTCGTGATCCTGATTGTCCTCATCGAATGTATTGCCAGGGTCGATGTTGTCGCTGCGGATATATCCTTGATATTTTTGAGTACGCCCCATCTTTCAGTTACATGAGTAGGTATTTAAAGTTGAGCCCCGAGTTCGTGGCTTCTACTAAGCAACGCAAGTTAAGGATCGGGTTGGGACAAAAGAAGCTTCACCTGGTTCTTGGCTTAGAACACATCCTCATCCACGCCATCAAACTCTCCAAGATTTCTCATGATGATTCAAGATTATTATTAACAAGAGATGACATATTTCGTCTTCCTAACGACAACTTACTGGTCAAGTTGCGACCCTTTGTCCGTGACTTCTTGTCGGAAGCAAAAGAGTTTTTCACCATGCACGTTTGCACAAACTATGGCCCTGACCATGCCAAGAAAGTGGTCAATTTGCTTGATCCGCATATGGTCTACTTTGGGAATCGAATCATTACAAGTAGAGACAGCGATGGTTTGAAGTCACTGGAGCTTGTTTTGGCAGAACCACGTGGGGTGATTGTCGTTGACTATGATCCTAGACTGTGGAGGATGCGAGACTCACCTAACCTGGTCGTTATATCTCCCAAGTACGAGTATTTCAAAGCAAGCAAGGTCGTCGTCCACGGGGTCCTAGCAAAAGCTCTTAATTTCTTCAAGAATAATAAAGTTTTCGAGTTGGATGGAAAGAGAGACAAGTGTTCTGGTGATGGTGAATTTATGGCTGACTTATTGACAGACCTTAAGGCCGTTCATGAATTCTTCTTTAATGGAGGATATCACGATGTAACTCATGTCCTGCCCCGTTTCTTTGAAAGCAAGACATATTTTTTATAATAATGACATTAGTATTTTTTTTCTTCTACTGATTTATGTATTTTGATTGGTTGGTTGAGACTTTTTTTTTTTTTTTTTTATGTTGATGTTTATTATGGAGAATATCTGTTAAATTGTTGAAAGAAACTATAACAGGAGAAAAAGTGTGTACGAGTACGTTCTCGGTTCAATTTCTCTATTATCTGGTTTCTTGGGATCCAAGACATCAGTGTGTTATTATGAATAAAAAAAAGATGAGAAAGCAATCTTTTGGTTCAAATCAGTGTGTTTGTTTGATTATTCGAATTTCAAATTAAACCATACCACACAGTCCTTGTTTGATTATCATCACTGTATTCCAGCGACCTTACCTTTCAATTCCTCTCTTTTACATCTTTTAAGACCACCTCCAAAGGCAAAGGAGGTTGTAAACATGGGTTCTTAGAATCAAAAGTTTTACTATTGATCATGCCTACCAAGTGTTGGTTTCACATCTTGGAATCAAAAGCAGCTTGTGTTTTCTTTTCGTCTGATCTTCATTCAAGAGTTGCAGAGATTTTGAATATGAGGAAACTACTTTGAAGATACATCATCTTCCCTATTTAGTTTATTGATTTTACAATTAATATTGCGTGTATTGTGGTTTTGCTTGTGATGATTCACCACGTTTCACTTGTGTTTTTGCAGGTGAAGCTAGCTCAAGTTCAGATCCTTTTGATACTCCAGTTAGGTATAATTAAGGCGCCGTCAAAGAATGTATCGCCTATAGGTCCAGCTAGCATCTTTCTTTTAGCCAATTTTCCTTTTTTACTTCTGTGACATTCTGATATAGTTTTCTAAAAAAAAAAAGGAACCTATAGATTTCCTGTTTCCTTTTTTAGTTAATCAATTTCCTTTTCTTTTCTTTGACTGAGACAAGTTTTTTTTGGAAATACGTATTGTTTTCAATTATATATATATAGAAGGATTAGGATTAGTTCGTTTTTACGTAAGAGTTGAACCATATCATGGCTTGTTGTATTCACAATATTGTTCAAGATGGATTTTGCACTGATTGCAAAAGGGCTGTGGATACTCAACACCATGCTTACATACCTTTTTATTACCTCAAGAACGGTCAACAGTTTCGTCCAGAATATGTGGGGACTATGAAACGCCATGTTTGGAACAAGTCTTTAATGGAGAAGAAGCTCACTTTAGTCCTCAGTCTACACGACACGCTTTACGACTCTCGCCCAGTTTCATTGCTCTCAAAAAAAGAGAAATATCTAACCGAGTCAAAGTCGGATGATATGTGGCGATCAAAAAACGGCGGCATGACTTTGTGTAAGCTACGACCTTTCGCTCGTGAGTTCCTGCTCGAAGCCAACAAGCTGTTCCAGATGCATGTGTTCGAGCACTCCTACCCTGAGGATTGCAAAGAAGTGATATCCTTGCTTGATCCTCAAGGAACTTACTTTGGGAAACGCATCATCACATACAGAGACAGTGAGATGAAGAATCTAGATTTAGTCTTGGCAGAAGAGCGTGGGATTGTCATCCTCGACGATAAGCTCGCGTATTGGTGGCCCGAGGACCACACCAACCTGCTGCAGATCAGGCCTTACCAATATTTCAAACGCTGCGACAACAACAAGACTTGGATCACCAAAGTCGTTGATTTGTTCAAGACAAGACATCCAAAATTTTCTTACGCACAAGAGAGGATAGATGAGAACGCCGAGGATGGTGCGTTGGCGAATGCTCTTGAGTTATTGAAACAAGTGCACCGTAAATTCTTCACTGAAAAAGACCAAGATTCCAGAGATGTTAGGGCCTTGCTTTTTCCCTAATCTTTAATCCTTCTTCTTGTTTTTTATCGCTTTTGCTTAGCCACTAATGCTTTATTAAAAAGCAAACATATCTCTAAGCCCTATAATCTTCCTTCTTGCTTTGATAGCGTTAACTTTTTCCAACTAATCCAGAGTATTGATTTTCATACCTGTATTTCTTTTTTTCTTCCTATGTTTTCTTCTGTGTTGTTATGTTTATTTTAGAAGACAGTTTGTGAAAACGTTAAGAAATTAGTATCGAAGGGAGTTTTCTAATCAACTATAAAGGGAGTTAACAACAAGAAATTTAGAGCCTTACACGGTTGATGGGCTTTAATATTAATGGGCTTATAAGAGCACCTTTATTAACAGGTTCTTACGACCGTTTCTTAGCAGAATATAATAACACATTTCTTTAACTTTTAACTAAAAAAAACTAAGAACCGGATTTAAAAATTAAATTTGTATCCTTTAATGGGTTTATAAGAGTACCTCCATCGGCTTAGTTCGCCAGCAGGCGAACTAGTCGTGACTAGTTCGCGTTCTGCGGCGATTTCGGTTTTTCGCGGTTTTGTAAAACGAGTTCTCGAGTTTTATAAAACGATCTTCTGACATGTTTCTTAGCGAAATATAAATACCTATTTTTTAATTTTTATTTAAAAAATTAAAAATTAGATTTAAGAACCGATCCTTAGTTTTTTAATTAAAAATTAAGAAGCGTATTTTTATATTCCGTTTTAAAAACTTCTCAATGGAAATGATCTAAAGATCAAGCAAACTTGAAAATTTTGGTTTGTGGATTTAAAAAATCTTCATTGGCGAATTTAAAAGTTTAATAATTTGGTTAAAGTGTGTATGAAATAAAAAATGCACTTGATCACGGAAGAAGCATCATTTAGATACTAGACATCATCATCAATCCCTTAATATCAATACTAACAAAAAGTCATTGTTTTTTTCAGTGCCTTATGATTCGTTTTAATCATCAGTTCGCTAGTTTCCATTCTACTAGTCATCTTTAGGTTACCGCTAGTATCAGCATTACTCATACAAAACAAAAACCATAACTGAATCACAACAACAAAAATCCCATCATTAGTTGAATTTCTTTTCATTGGAGCTATTCTTCGTCTTATACTCGTGTCAACTTGTGGCTACGAAATATTACTTTTTGTTCATGAAAACACTTAGATTGACCAAATGTGATGTTAACGTTAGAACAAGTATATGCAAAGGTTACGCAAATAAAGTGGACCGTCCAAAATTTTTTTCTAATAACAAACAGAAAATAAAATAACAGAAAACTGCATGAAAAACATTACCTTACGTATTCCCTGGTGTTTCTAAAGTTGTCGTTTTGAACATTTTCGTTTTCTTGCTTGCTCTTTTTCTCCTTCGTGGTGTTGACATTTCTTTTCTTGTTTGATTTCCAGAATTTAAATTTCGTTATGCTATGCTGAAAATAAGAAATTGGTACCACACTGGAATAAATTTTGGCGAAACAATATTTATTAACTTTCACATTTAGGTACTTGTTTGTTCTCTTAAATTTGGCAAACGGTGTAAAGAAAAAAACAACTTAGCAATCCATTGGGAAAATATTGCAAAGAATGAAAAGATCAACAATCTGAACTAGGAATCTAATTTCGTTTGTATTCACTTTTTACATACGCATGCTGAATCAAATTGAACTATATTATTAGTGAGCTTAATTTTTTAAACAAATAAGACAAAGTGAATATATAAAAGTGAACTAAAACTAGTTTCGCCATCTCAAGTACAGACCGTTGATGTTCCTCCACTATTAGTCATCTCTAGCTAATAAGGAAAAAAGTTAAAGAATGGTCCAGTCGGGTCGGTCCAATCAATAAACCGAAAATACAGGGTTTGAATATGAGAAACAATAAATAACGATCACAGTAATAACCAAACAGACCAAACTTTAGCTTCAGCACTAAAAAGACAAACAGAGTTTTTAACAGTCATCACCAAATCCTAACACGCAATCCTATGTAGTGATGAACACTCCCACGTGCCCCACGTGTCTTCCACGTGGCATAACCACCATACGATGTCTGTCTTTAACAGTTTTCTTCTCAGCAATATATGTGTTTTCTAGTTAAACACGGCTCACACTAACTAATGTCGAGGTGCATATAATTAAAGAGATATCGCATATTATAACTTTCAACGGTGGATGAGTCAGCCGCATGATATCTATGAAGTCCAAAAGTTAATTACTAGTATGTTTTAGTTGGATATCAAATTTAATTGTTTCGGAAACAAGGTTTGAGTTATATATTAACCAAACTATATAGAATTCATCCGTGTTCTTTACTTTTTTTTTGACAAAGAAGTCATTCGTGTTAAAAAAAAATATATCTATATATATACTATAAGTCATTCATAAATATGTTACCATAAAATCGCCACTTATGCAAACAAATCGCATCGTAGTCGTAGATGCTCATTTAAAAATTAAAATGAAAAGGGGATTTTCCTATTGGTGAAAATTATTCATTCCCTACAGAAAATAATAGTACATAATTGCAAAAGCATATATAGAATCGGTTTATTCATACATACACACATGCATATATGTATAAGCAAGTAGGTGTCGTGATCTTAGATTGAAGTTCGTGAAAGCAAGTATTGAATTCTTCGAGCTGTCTCTTTCTCGGTTGGTATTTCTTCTCTTCTTCTCTCGTATGCCTCGAAGAACTCTTTGTTCTCTTTCTTTAGCTCCTTCCACACTGTCGAATTAATCAATTCTTCATCCCTTATCTAATATACACATCAATATAAATAAACCATTTCCATACATATATTTGTATGTGTATACCTGTGGAAGTGATGATAGGTTCGATATTAGCATGCTTGAACAGAGCATCCATACACTCTTCTTTGCCCATGTTGAATACTATACATTGTTCTATCAAATGATGCACCTGCATCCCATAATCAAACATTTGTATACTATGATGAGAAATGACATCGTATATTAGTACCATATAATCAGCATCAACCAAAGAGACAAAATATCAAAGATCAGAGTGATTTGAGAACAAGAAAAAGTGATTAAATCGGTACCAAATGTATGTAAGATGCTTGTGAGCTGTTATGATCACCCATGATATGATAGATATTTTCCTATATTGAGAGAAATGATGTGAGGGAAGAGAGAAGAAGGCAGGTGAAAACACTACAAGAAAAGAAACGAAGATGGACAATTTAATATTTATAAGACAAAATGTCTAGAAGAAAAAAAGAGGACATGGGTTTAAATGTTTAGTCACTGTTGACAAAAACAAAATGTATAGTCACTGAATAGCCTAAAAAAGCTAATGGTTTATTTTATTTTTATTGATTACGGGCATCTAAAACTCAAATCACTTTTTTGTTTATGTTTATATTCATGGAATCGGCTAATAGTGATTATACAAACTGATAATTAGAAGAACATAGAGTAAAAATTAAAAAAAAATTGAAAGAGCATACAGTATTTAGAATAAGAGAAATAATACATATAATCAGTATGCCAAATTCACGAATATTTTAATTATTAAAATATATTATCCTTAATCTAAAGGGGGTGCTAGTTTCTGCTAATATCAGCTGCTGAGTGCTGACTTGTAACTTTGGAATCGTGATGGGTACCATAAGCCCACGTGGGCTTCTGCTTATGATTGGTTGAGAGCAGATTACAAGAGATTTTACGGGACGGGACGGGAATGCAATGCACTATGCATAATAACTGTTAAGCTTACGTAACGATGAAGGTGACCACGTGAACTTGGACCCACCTATCTGGTTAATAGTAAAAGTATTACCGTAATCATTATCGTTTAGCATCTTTTAATTAGCTTTTGTGAACATCATTAGTATTTAACTAATCATTTCTTTTGTATTTGGCTCTGTAGTAATGCCACCAAATTCCAAACTACTTCTATCGATTTACATGGTCCTTTGTAGGCCTAGTCCTTTCTCGATCCTGATAATTTAGGAAATATATCTTACTAATGAACACTATATTTACCACCTCCTAGACATTATTTTACAGATGTCCTACGAACAATCAATTCCACTAAAAATAACATGACATAATAAAAACTGATGAGTTATGACTAAATATAACATAACAATTACACGAAATGTGATTTCTATTTCTGTTAATTTTTTTAAAATATGGTAATAATCTTTACATCATTATAAAATAAATATATTTAAATATGATATTAAAGAATATAATTTTTTTTACAAATTTAAAATTATTTGAGGCTATTTTCAAAATCATACAACTATTATTACTAAATAAATAATATTTCCAATATTTTATAAAACTCTTAAAAAATTGTAAATCTTTAATCGAAATATCATTTGTTTCCTTTTGATAGCTATAATTTTTAGAAATTCAAATTAGTTTTTATAATAATTTTTTATCAATTAATATACGAGTTGATTTAATATATTTTAACTAAAAATAATGAAAATCTATTTAAGATTATAATTATATATATATATATATTCTTAAAGAGTGTTTAAAATAAATGAATTTTTTTATTTTATCTTAATTTTATGTTTACCTAAATCAATATTTATATCAAATATTGTTATAAAATAATAAAATCTAAAATATTAAATTTTTTTTGAAACATAATTTAAATTTTAAAATGGATCTGTGCACATACCGAAGGAAAACACCAAATTCAACTAAAAAACCGCTGCTTATCAATTATGATGGATCGAAATTTTGATTTGAGCTGGCTCACCTAACAAAATACTAACATCCGTACATTCAACTCGCGTACTAATATGAAAATGTGTGTTTGTAAATTTCCCAGCATTCAACTCACGTACGAACATGAAAATGTGTGTTTCTTATTTTCCCAGCCCATCCTTCCGTTCCATTGATAAAATCAAAACTAGCCCCAGTATGTGTTCCACAAAACTATATGTACTTTGTATACTAGGACTGTAGGACATGAGTTCAGTGTACGTGTGTTTCCCCACATCTTCTTCTGTTGGATTCTCGAACCTATTGGGGGACCACCAGTTTGGTAACGGTATATTTCGAAGGACTCCTTGTTGGGATACTCAATAGCTGGTAAAAAGATTCTCATCATCGAAAGTTCACAAAATCACTTATACATCATAGTTCTTGCAAACACATGACTCTGCACTCGGACAGCCCGTAAACTTGATATGATCTCGTGATTTCTATTTCAACTGTCTTGAAAATATGCATGTAATACATAGAAGACAAGATCCACGAGGTACGGGGTGGGTAATAGTACACAAATTATAAGTAGAAATTCATGCGAAGAAATATGGAGAGCACTAAGTTTATTATAGTCACATATGTGTGTTTAGCATTCAGAAACATACCGATAACTTGAGACCTACGTTAACTGAAGACTGATCATACTCAAAATCTCTCTCATGCCAGTCCTCTTTACTCACACCATTCTTTGCTGAAAATAAAACATCTCTTCTTGGCAGCTCCTATGGATTGGGAGGTGGAGGCAGAGTCGGATCCGGATTCGATTGCCATGTTGCTGTTGTTTTAAAATATGACCTGTTTGTGAGTCTGAGCTAACAGATTTGCAGGAGGTGTTCTAATCACTCTTTCAAATGCTCTCTCTGTTCACCACTGATCTAACGGAGACAGAGTCGGAGTCGAAGCTCATACCTTAAATTGATTTGGATCCTCAGTCTGAGCCGGACTTGAAATTCGAATCGCTCATTGCTCGAAAAACTTCAATGGCCAAACTGAGGCGGGAATATAACCCATGAATCCAATTTACTCCAGAGTACAGTTTATAGTGGTTTAAAATCGAATCTTAAAATTATTCAATATTATTTTGTTACAACTTTAACATATCGATTCAAACACAATAACTATTTTTTATAAAAATATTATAAATTATGTCATCATTAACAATTTTAACCAGTAACATTCAAATGTGTGAATGTTATCATAAAATAAAATAAAACGTAAATGTTATTATAAAATATAAAAAAGAACAACTTAACAACTATATGTTTACGTTGATGCAAATACTAGCTACAAAACAAACAACATTTGGAGGTGTTGTAGTTGGCCCATAAATTTTGATTTTTCATCAAAATCACAAAAATGAATTTTCTCAAAACTGGAATATTTTTTTTAACAAGAAATTTAGATTTGACACCAAGACCATTAAATTGGTTTTTATTGTTTCAGATCCGTAATATCAAACATAAGAATAAACAAACAAGAAATAAACAAATTCTCAAACAAGCAAGCAATAAATCATGATATTATGTTTCAAGTAGTTCTAGAGAGAATTTTTGTAATAACTTGATTAATTAAAAAAACATATGATAATAAATGTCAAGGAAAATAGAACATACCATCTCTAACGATCTCAATGACAGAACACCATGTTCTATTTGCTGTCACGAATTAATACTGTACTAAGTCTCCATGAATATAAATGCTCTCCTAAAAACTTTGAAAAGAAAATATTATAATGAAAAGAAAATGTTTTTGTTTTTGACAAAAATGGTTTGGTTAGAAAAATATTACTAGTTTAAACATTCCGACAAGCAAACAAGAAAACAATCAAACACAAGAAATAAGCACAGCAAACAAACAAACCATGATATTATATTTTAACAAATTTGCGAGGAGAATTTTTATAATTACTAGAGTGATTAAGAAAAACATAGTGATCATAAGTGTCAAGGTAAAAAGAAAATACCACCTCTAACGATCTCAATGACGTGACACCATGTTCTACTTCTTTTTACAAATTTACACTATGTCTCTATAATCAAGTAATATAAATACCCTCCTAAAAACTTTAAAAAGAAAATGTCAGATTGGAAAATATATTTTTTGTTCTTTTGAAAAAAAAATTTGACAAAAATGGTTTGGTTAGAAGAACTTTAGTAATTTAAACATTCCATCAAGCAAACAAGAAAAGAATCAAACACAAGAATAACCAAACAAGAAATAAGCTAGTTTCAAGGAAGGAATAGCCCTTTGTTTCTCAACAAGAAGGAATAGCCCTTTGTTTCTCAACAAGAAGGAATAGCCATAAGATGGTACAACAAGACTGATTAGGAAGACTAGTTAACTTTTTGAATTGGACTAATTGAATTAGGCAAGAAGACTAAAAGATTGGTAACCTTATCCAATATAGAGTACTCAGCCTTGAAACGGGTACAACCAATCTCTTCATTTGAACCAGGTTTTTTTATCATAATTAATCCTAATTTCTCAATTGAGGTTTTTAGGTCTGACTAAGAAACTTCTTAATTTAAAAAAAAACAAATTTAACTAACAAAAGTTAATAACCATTTTTAAATAAGAGATATAAAAGTTGTTTCTTATTAAGAAAATAAGTGTTCAGTTACGAGTTAAGAAATATGGCTAAGAAAACGAAGTTAATCATGTTCTTAATTACCAAACTGGTAACAGAGGATCTCAAACCCTAAACGCACTATGAATTTCTTTTTTAAAAACACACAATTGATATCTATATGGTTTAACAAACAAGCGGTGAACAAAGTATACCATCATTATCTTTGTACTTATGATATAGTTCGAATTCGTCATAACACTGCATGAAGATTCAAAGTACCAATGACAGTAATCACTAACGAAGGACCTTATTAATTCTCAGAGATTACAAAACTGAAAATATGAATCTTTTCACCTGAGAGAAGCAACGTTGACAATCAAGAGAACATTTCCCCTTTTAAATCATTCACAGAATTTGGACTCAGAGGTAGCAGCCATCGATTGTTGTGAGAACTGATGATGGAAGAGGACGAATCTGGTTATGAGAAATGTTCATCTATAATTATCAGTTTCCTAAACTCTCTGTGTTTTTGTCGTAGTCTTTACCCTCTCTATGTAAATGGGCTCACATTTGTGTTTGAAATTTTGAATCATCTACAACTTATAATTACTATGACGATTTATATCCTAATATAAAACGATATCTACTGTGACTTCTTTAAATAATTTGTTAAAAATAACTTCAATTTTTAAAATCAGCATACGTATTTGCATACGTGTATGTATCCTATCACTCGATGGGGCTTGTAACAACATTTAATTCCAACGAGACTGACATCTCCCCACATGGGGGAGAAATGTTTGTCCTCTAGGCGGGAAAAAAGAAAGTTATTACAATCATAAAATAATTGAGGGTTCCTAATTTAATGTTTAAAAATCTTATCGGAAGTTTTTAATATCTGTCAGACCTATTTATTATACATGTAACATGTTCTCATCAAATGCAATGAACTTCTGGGTTACCACTAAATGCAATGAACTTTGAGGGGTTATTGGAGAAGATTACAATTAAATGTAGTAATTACTTTTTTCACCAATAAGATACTGCAGAAGCAATACTATTCAGATACAGTTATTCATGTGGACTTGTCTATCATTACAAATTATATACCTAAAACACGTATAATTTTATGGCCAATCTTAGTTAAACTTTTTTTTGAGAACATCTTAGTTAAACATTTGCCCAACGAAACAACGACTTTCAGGTAACTGGTATAAATATATTTTGACTTTTGAATCTGAATCATTTGACCATGCACATAAAAGCTATGGAAACACTGGAGATAATTACTAAAAAAATAGAACCACTTTGGAAAGAGTCTTAAAATGATTTTTTTCTTCAGTTACACGTAAAGAAGCTTTAATAGCAGGATCAATAAAAATTTCCACATTTTTATTTAGTTTTGCAAAAGAGTAATGACTTTTTACATTTTAAAAATATACCACTATATAATTTTTGTTCTTTTTAAGACTACTATATAATTAACCATTACAATTTTGATAATCACAGCCTACCTAACCCCATGTGTTTTCACCCTCCCTATATAAACTCACTCTCTCGATCTCATCACTCAGACAAACAAATCAAACTCTTTCTCTTTCTCTGCTCCCTATCCATCTTGTCTGAATCTGCAACTCACAATGTCGGAGAGACCAAGCCGTCACCAGAGAAGACCTTCTCAGACCGTTTTTCCGATCTCCCTCGAGGATCTCTCTGACATCTCTCTCACAGCAAATCCTCCATCCTCTATTCCTTCTCAGCCGCCGCGCCATCAGATCCCTCCGCCATCTCCAGCCGCTGTTCCGGCAAACCGTAACAGCAACGGCAACAATACTAGCAAGGAAGGGAACGCCTCTTCTAATTGATATTATCCTTTGTTTAATTAAAAATATAAGCCTTTTTGTTGTTGTTCTTCTGTCTTCTTTTAAATCTCTTGCTTAATGATCAGATTTGTCTTTGTTTCATAACTTAAACAATAATGAATCGATATTTACACATGTTAGGACGTTGCTGATGTTGAATGAATAATCCAGGGGAAATAACAAACCTTTGTTTGAAATGATTTCTAAACCGTGACAAGCATAACTTAATATGGTAAAAAGACTATGATTGAGAATTGCTTTTTTCGTGTACATATTAAGAAATTACTAAATATTTTGAAATTTGCCCTTTTGAAAACTTTATTGAATCTTACAAGCTATGGTTGACGTAGACCGCGGGATTCGTGGGTCTTCTACATTGAAGTATGAAAAGGCTTTGAAGTTCGAAAACAGTTTATATTAAAATATCAACTAGACGCAAAGTTTAATAAATTAACATTGAATTTTGTTAGTATATTACAATATGAATATTATTAAATCGATAGATGATCTTCTTCCTTTTCGCAATGAAATGTTGTTTGACCATATAAAAAGATAGTGGATCTTCTTCCCTTTTCGCTTTCTTTCTAACTTAAGATGTATTTTTCAAAGCATTAAAGACACCCATTTCAGCAAATAGTCAACATAAATTTTCATTTCCAGGCTGGTTATAACAGGTATCATTCGAATATATATAAGTTAAATTTTAGAAAATATACAAAATGAATTGCAAATGACATGTTAATTGATTTCTCCATCGGGCACCTTTTTGTTTTGAACGTCTATTAAATTTTACAAAAATCAGTTCAAAAAAACGTTTTATTAATTTTTTTTCGACTATGTATATAAGTTTGTTATATTGACCGAAGTCGCATTTGACCTTTCTTTTGGTTCAACATTAAAAACAATTTCAAGGAAAATGAGGAATGTATGGAACCCAAGAGGCAAGAGAGCAGAGTCGTAAAAAAGAGAGAAAGTGTATCGTATAAATTATAGTTTTGTTTTGAACAATTTCATTAGAAAATTAATTTTGACTAGGTTAATTCATGCGCAACTGCCCGGAGTGGTTTTACATGTGTTTCTCTAGTTTTTTTTTTCTTTTTTTTTTTGATAAAAGTGTTTCTCTAGCTGTTCTCTGTTTTCACTATATCGAGTTTGATTAGAAAAAAAAATATTTTATCAAACATGATATCGTCAATTAACATCCCAATAATGATGTATGATCGATATGGTTCACAAACATATTATTGACAATAATACGTTCACGAACAAATTACATGTGGCCAGTGGTTTTGGTCGCTAATCTTGTAAAGATTGATCACGTTGATGAAAACAAAAGTGTAATGTTTATGTTTCTGTATAATAAATCGAATTGTTCGCTGTAAAAGATTAGTAGATAACTTTGTCCGTTGTATTCGATCCATTAGACGAAAATTTATCAGAAAAAAAAAAGTAAATTAAATGATTAGAATGGATCAATTTTTTCGCGGGAGAAAACGAGCTCATGCATGGGAGAAGATTCCGTCGGTAATAAAATTAAGGGAGAGACGTTTTATATTGAAAAAGTATACGAACTCTCTCATTAAATCATCTATAAAAAGGTAAAAGTCGGAGAACCAGAGAAAAAGTGAAAAGACCAGTTACCAAAGCCACGAACTCATTACAAGTTGGACTAACATCGTTTGGGGTCATGTTTTATTTTATGAGTACATCAGTTCTCTTTGAGTTACTTGCATTTGATTGGACTCCATGCGCATAGGTTACTTTTGTAACTAAAATATTATGACATATTAAACTTTTGAAAGAGTCAAAGGGGTGTCAAATCTGTCACAATTTTCTCAAGAAAAGACAAGGACTACAGTGTCAAAGAAAAAAAAAATCTGTTGATTTTTTAACGTGTAAGCACGCGGGTGGGTGAACTTTTGCAAGGAATCACGTTTCTGTAATGGGCTCGGCCGAACTAATATGTCACATGATGTCGTTAGGACCGCAACAAAATAAACCGAGTCAGGTTCTTTTCCATGGTTGCTTTCTTAGGTTATCTGGTTAATAGGATTGCCACGGTAATAGAAACGACAGATTATTCTCTTCGGTGTGCTTGAATGGTTTAACTACTAAACTCTCTGTCTCAGAAAATTCTTTCCTTTTAGAACAGGTAGGAGTATTCGTACGGCTAAAAGTTTGGCACGTTGCTGCATGCTCTTCGTTGTCATGTATTTTCACCTTTTTTTTTCTTGTTTTTAGCTGTTAGGTTAGAGAAAGTGAATCTTCCACGTAATAACCAAGTGATGAACAACCCCTTTTTTCTATGAAAAGATTCTCACGCTTAACATATTCACTCCATAACTTTTGTTATCGAAACAATACATCACATCCATATCTCACACATTTCATTCTTAACTCTTAAGTGACAACAAGAAATTCATTTTATTAATTCATTAATATGTGTTCTTTTTAGAGACAGAGTTGATGAGCTTAACACTGAAATCCCAGAGTTTTTGTGCCAAAGTCTCATCTCTAGCAAGTTTGCTTGGTGTCACTTCATTGCAATCTGCAAAGTACTTTCCTGTTACCTCCTTCAGACTTGGGTGCAGAGCAACGTAACATGTTGTAGCTGCTCCCTGACCAAAATAACACGGAGTATCAAATATGTTATTCTCATTTCATCTTTTATTTCCCACATGTTAAGTAACATAGCCATAGGGCTAGATCTTGAACCTGGCTAAGTCTAAGGATTCGATTAGTACATTATTACCTGGGGTATATTTTTCCACAAGTAGAAGCTGAAGAACTTCAAAAACCCTGTAAAAAAACATGGACGTTAGAATAAATAAAAGTAAATACAAAAATAAAAATGATATTCCTTATAGAAAAACAGAGAAAGAAAGTTTACTCATTAAAAGAGCAGTGTGTTGGAAGAGATTGGTGAGGATGAGACCTGGGTGCACTGAATTCACTGTTATGTTCACTCCCTCCTCCTACCAAACAAAACAATGTCCCAGAATACATTGTGATCAGTTCTTTGTTCTTAAGTAACTAACCAAAGACAAAATCAGATATTGAGTTTCTTTGTTCGTTTATTATGTACTTAGATGTATGTGTGAAGGCAACCTGAAGTTGACGCGAGAGCTCATTTGCGTGCAATATATTGGCTAGTTTCGATTGTCCGTATGCTTTTTTATCCGAGTAACTGAAAAACAGAACGAGATGGTTTTATAAAGATATACAGTTTGAGGATAATAAAGGGTTTTAAACTCTGCAAAGCGCAAGACTATAGTTTTGGAACAACTAAAGAATTTACCAGCAAATGTCATTGATGCTGTCGAATTGGATTCCTTCTTGGTAAGTATAGATATGAGCTATAGATGATAGATTCAATATTCTTCCTTCAACACCAGTGGTTTTAGCTGTGGTCTTCATTGTCTCTAGGAGCAAGTTTGTCAACAGAAAATGACCTACATTGTTTAAACTCAACAATTAACGTTTCAATTTATTAGCTGACCAAGAAAGTTTTGGTTGTTAGGTTTATTTTCTGAAACACACAAAACTAAATTTCTTAACTTTATATATACACATTGAAAAAGGAAAATTTACCAATGTGATTTGTAGCAAACTGCAGTTCAATTCCATCTTCAGAGAGTTGGTATGGACAGAACATAACTCCTGCATTGTTTCTGCAGACACCATTTTGTACATTAATTTATATCCATATAGAGCCAAATTATGCATCTTCTTACTTCCACAGATAAACTTGTACTATGAATATCCTTAGGTGAAAAGTAGATAAATTATGATATTAAAAATAATTTTCCTTATATATATATATATATATATATCAATTTGGTGATACACACTGCTAGGGTCTTAGGTTCAGGGACTGGAATAAATTGTGGTCCTCATGTGGTAGGTACCACACTGGAATAGTAACTTTAATAACATTAATTGCAGTTAAATGACTTAACGTTAAACTAGTAATAACATCAGTAGCAGTAAAAATTAAATGGTAACACTAATAATATTCACAGTAGTTAGGAACGTTGTCTTTTCATAATATCGAAAAATCTAGATGTTGGATGATGTTAGTTAACTTTATTTGACCGACGAGCAACCATTCAAAATGAATATGACGCAAAAGCAATGATCCAGACGCTAGAAATGGCCGTCAAAACGCTTAGCCAGAGAAAGAGAGAGAGAGAGTACATGAGAATATTGAGAGGAAGATGGAGGGCATGAAAGTCGCGAACAAAGGCTTTGATGGATTTGAAGGAAGAGAGATCTAAGTGTAGCAGTGTAACACGTGCGTTTGCGTTTTGACTGAGAATCTCAGCTTTGGCGTTTTCTGCAGCTCCCATGTTTCGGGCACCAATCACCACATGAGCACCTCTCTTTGCCATTATCCTTGCTGTCTCCATTCCTATTCCTCCTGTCCCTCCTTTACAATGACCAATCACATGTCAAAATAAAATCTATTTTTGAAACAATTTCATATTTACTTCAGATTAATTTGCGTTTGTATACATTCCTCTAAACCTCTATGATGTGACCAACACACATACTAATAAACAAAACCTGAATCAAACGAATTCTGTAAAACTAAAAAAACCACAAAATATATCTAGTGAAAATGATGTTAAGGTATCATAAGTTCATACCTATAATCCAAATTGTTACGCTTAAGTACCTGTGATAATTGCAGTGAGATGAGTTGCATCAATCCCTTGAGAAACGTCTTCAGCTGTTGAAGCTGAACCAAACCCACTTGGTCCTCTCCTCCCTGTGATTAGAGAATATATTCCCATTTTTACTAGATCGGCCTCTATATTTTTCGAGGTCCACGAATATGAGAGAGAGAAAAACAAACGAGGAAGGAAGAGTGATGTTAGAGAATAATATGGTACTATGGAAGAATCGTATATATATAACTGGCAAAACTATCATTAATGCCTTTTTGGTGCCTTCTAGTTTCATGGACATTATTATGTGAATGGATCTATGAATAGTAAATACACAATATCAGACTCATACCTATATCTACTCAAATATGGATAACTATATGTGTATTTACTATTCATACGTATATGAATTAATTGTATAACATATATCTTTTTCTGGCGGTCGACACTGCATGCATATTGTAGAT